AGATGTTCGAAACCAGCCTGTTTTTCAGTGTAGTCCTGTTTCTCTGAATGTGACTGACTGAATGTTCTCTCATCATCCTCTGACATAAGAACTGACTTGGAGCTTGTCTGCATGTTTCCTGGATGCCTGTGGAGCTGGTTGACAGTTGCCTTTTTTTTTATCTCTGCTTCTTTCTGTATCTCTGCTTCTGTCTCCTTGAACCCCAGTCAGCCTCATGATGGCCGCTCACACTGAGCCTGGTTCTGCTGGAGGTTTCTTCCTGTTAAAAGGGAAATTTTCTCTCCACTGTTGCAACAAGCATGCTCGGTATGAGAGATTGCTTTTTAGTCAATGAGTCGATGCAATCAGTTTGTTTTCCTAATGCATAGAAAACTTTGAACCAATCTAACTGTAGGATCTGGTTGAATTGTCCCTCTAAAGTGTCTTGAGGTGACGTGATGTGTTGTGACTTGGTGCTATATAAATAAACTGTATAGAAATGTAATTGAATTTAGGGCTGAAACATTTAATCCAAATACTCATGATTATTAGATTATTGAAAAAATTGTCAACTAATTTAATAATCGATTAATCTGTAAATGGAGTGTAGAGAATCTAATTGTGCCTTTATACCAATATTGTAAAAAACATATAAACATTGTTTAAGATATTGCTTAAGATAAAATATTTTTCGTCTGTGAATATGCTCTATCCAGATCTCCTCAAGTGGAAAAGTTTTAGTTTCATCTGGTTTGTATTAGCAAAAAGTCTTCTTTAAGGAACCTTTTGCTAACTGATTATTCATTGATTAATAAAAAAAATTATCAACAGATTTATCAATTTGCAAAATAGTCATTAGTTGCAGCCCTAACTGAATCATTTAACCACCAATGTTGATCAGACTCTCACATATATTCATTTAGCTGGAAATGAATCCTAAAAACTGACATAAAGTCTGGATGAACTGAAATCATTTGGGATAAACAATTCAAAAGATCCTGATGAACATCAGGATAAAACTCCAAATGGTTTAAATAGCTTTTTTTTTTTTTTATTCTATCATTTGATGATCAGTGATCAACTTGATCCAGCAATGTGTCTTCAAGCCCAAACCCTGGAGGACTAAATCAGATGCTTTCTTCCTTAGACTTCACTGCAACTTATGCTGAGATAAACCATCAAACCAAAGCCAAGAAGAAGAAGAAGGGTAAAGATATATTCTGCATTCATCTATAGTTTTCTGGCTAATATAATTATTATTTTTGATGCCTATAAAAGAATTTGATATCATAATTAAACTGCATCAACATCTTCTTATTGACAGGAAAGCGGAGCTCTGAAACAGCA